GAAGGCAGGCAGCGCCACTCAGACAGTCTAGCTATTCCCAGTGGAAATGATGGAGAGAGAACCATCTCTCTGGAGAAGATAACGCCTTTCTGAGTGGCAGTCCGAATTCCCATTCTGCATACGGCATCTGGAGAGGGGTTTCCTCTTTTCCCTTATAACTAGTAGCCCATCTAACTTTATTGCATCAGTATTTGAGTCATGGTAGGTCTTTTCTGGTATGGCCTTGCCTCTCTGTGAGCCCATTATTGACCCAGGAAAGGGTCTGTGGCAGGTCCCTGCATCCCTTTCCCCCACTTCAAAAAAGGCTGAGTGAAAATATTACGAGTTCCTTTGCACCCATTGTCCCCTTCCCCAGGGTCCCTCGGAGCATCAACTGCTGCCACTGGGAGAGGCAGGGGTAGTAGTCAGTGTTCCCAGTGGGCTCCTGACAGGTCTCCTGCTCCAGCGATGAGAAACTTTCAGCTCCGTGCTTTTGTTCTCCTGGCTCCCTGCTAACCTTGCATGTGGGGTTAACAGAGAGCCCCAATGACCCCAGATCAGATACGGATTGAAGGCACCAGGCCAGGCGGAGTACAGTAATAGTTGTCAGTGCACAGACTCACCACTGAGCCAGTACGCATTGTCGTACCTCCGTGTTCTATACTTCGGTGGTCTGAGCTGTCAGTGTCGGCGGCGTCTGGTCAGGGTCGTCCTGGCGCGCTCCTGACAGGACCTCTACTCCGTCGGTGATCATAAACTTTCGGCTGCGTGCATAACAATCGGTACTCACTTTATCTAGAGTGTTAGACCCCGTGCACTTGGGTCAACACAGGAGATCTCTGAGAGGCCCCGGAAACGACAGATGCAGGCAAGGTCTGAAATCAATCGAGCAGGTTTATTGTCAAATGCAAAGCTCTACCAGTTGGTAACAGAGATCAGTCCAGTGTTTTAGGCAAGGTTTGAAATCAATCGAGCAGATTTATTGTCAAATGTGAAGCTCTCACAGTTGATAACAGAGATCAGTACAATGTTACACCACTGTGCATTATGGCTCACGTTGACAAGGTACCAACATCGGGCAGGCCTATTGCCATATAACAGATATTAACAGCAGTTAGTCAAAGTTAAGCTACTGTGCATTCTGAAAGGTTAGGCAATGACACCTGCCGTCCAGGCACCTAGTGCGCCCCCCTCCCCCAAGGACGGCTGGAGAGCACCCTCTGTGGTGTCCTTTTATAGACAGGTAATAACAATTTACATCATTTCTTTATGTACCAGGTTACCACCCTCTGTTGCCTAGTTACCACCCCTCACCTTGCGGAAGGGGGGCTTACTTACTATCCTTCATGCTGTCAATCTCGACCTGGTCCTGAACCTAGGTCGGTATGTACATTAGTTTTTGGGGAGTCTTTGTACCAAGACATTTCTTATTAAGATGTTCCATTACTCCCCTTTGGCTTACAGACTGTACCCAGTGCCTCCCTGTGTCCTTCCATGCTCGACCTAACTTACACAATCACACAGTTCTCAGTAGGGCCTCTTTCTTGGCTCCTGTTACTGAACCAAAGTCTTGCTCACTAGATTCTAGGCCTGTTGCTGCTTTCATGTTACAGGCCTCCTCTACTCAGGCCTGCTGACTCCATGGTACTGACCCTCAACTTACTACATTCATGTGTACACCATGACAATGAACTAGCTCAGTCAATGCTATGGACTTCAGCGTTTCCCCCTTGGCTAGACAAAGACAACTCTTTGGGGTGCACTTGTACACACCGGTACACACAAGTTACACATCACTCCTGGCGTATCAGGTGGCCACCCTCTGATCCACCCATTTCCCTGTATATGGGGGTGCGATTGCTTTTTATCATGCTGGCACTTGAGCTGGGATCGGTATGGTCTTGTTATCTGGGACGAGGGGACTAATATGTTTCTTAACGAGTTGTTCTGTTACCACCCCTCTGGAATGTGCTTACAGCCTGAGTGTGTTAGTAACATCAGCCCTGCTCTTGCCAGCTTGTGAGCTGCTGTCTCCCCCTCAGCCAGCTGCTCCCTGTCAGAACAGCAAATTCTGAGTGTTTTAGCGCACGGCTGAGCCGCAGCTGGGTGTGAACGGGGCTGCATGTGGGCCAGGCGGAGAGCCTCTGGGCGAGACGGCGCTTTTCCTCTGCTTGCAGAATTGAAGAGGGAAGAGTTTCTGCTTATGTGATTTCCTAATCAGAGGCCACAGGAAGTGTCCCGGGCTCTCATCCGTAGACCTGTCTCAGAAGGACACTGCCTGGCCACCCGGGTACCCATCAGTCCTCCCTGGATTCTGGAGACTGATCACTTCAGAGATGCATACTGAGGATCTTAGGAAAGAGGGTCTGCCCTTTCTGGGGCAGCCAGCCTTGGGCTCAGGTTATTCAAGTCTCCTCTTTGGCCAGTAGAGGGTAGAGTACTGGGCTGTGTTCCTCCCAGAGTTACGATTCTCATCGTTCCCCTCCCTGGTAACACCGTCTGTCACCCAGTCACAGCGGCCAGAGGCGTGTGGTCCAGCGTGCGAGATTGCACCACAGACCCCCCCAACCTGGGTAGCCCCAGCGGACTCGCAAAGCCCTCTCCCTCTGGACGCTACCCTCAGTGCCGTCCTGGGCTTGAATAGCCTGGAGCTGGTGTTCGGAGCTGCTCCCCATCTCTGCAGGCGTTCCCTTCCTCCGCCTTCCTCTCGCTGCCAGACTGGGGAGCCCGCCGGAGCACGCAGGGTCGTTGGTCGGTGGGGGAGCTCAGCACATCAACACCCGAGAGCTCCGGCTGGTTCATCTTGCCTGCCAGGCTTCCCTGCCTCAGATCACCTTCATTCTCTGACCGCACCACAGCCGACGTGCCTCAGCAGGCAGCAGGAGCCTGTTCATCCCTCCTTAGTCAGGAAGCAAGTCTCCCTGCCAGGCCCCCACCCCTCCCAAGTCTCCCTTGGGATTTGGAGAAGCCTGTTCAATCAGTCTCCTGGCTTATCTTCCAGGTGCAGAAGGAGCTAGTCAATTGGCTTAGCAGGTCTTTCCCCAGTCAGGAGTGGTCTCTTCCCCCCGACTCAGCCAAAGGCATCGTCTGCTTGCGGGGACTCCCCCAACAGACCTATTTGTGAGCAAGTACAACAGAAATGACGCCCTCTTCTGGGTCTCGGCATAGATGCCTTCCCGCTAGCCTGGATGAGAATGCTTCAGTGTGCTTCCCCCCGTCCCGCTCCTACACAGAGCGCTGCTAGAGACCCAGCAGGACCTGCCTGGGTTATATTCATGGCCGCACAGTGGCCCTTCCAAGCCTGCTCCTGTGCTCTGTGGATCTCAGTGGCCACTTGGCTGTCCTGTTGCACCTGGATGTCATCACTCATGGCCACTGTTGGCTGCTCCACCAGGCTTGCGATCCCTTCCTTGAAAGGCCTGAAAGTTCCTTTGCTAAATCCCAGAGGCCACATGGCAGTGGGGGGCCCCCACCTGTCCACATGGAAGCGGTTCTCGTCTGGACTTGCCAGAGCGGAGCCGCGCTGATGCTCTCGTCCACCCAGCACATACAAATGCTTTTTGCACTGAGTCTTTTCAGACCAGACGTCTCGTTCTTTGGACTAGATAAGCTGGGTAGGGAGCAGGTGGGGGGAGGCCTCCATTCAGAAGAGATGGATTTTTTCTCATGGTTGGTTTGAGACACATGGAGCAGCGTGGACGAAGCCCCGGAGACGAGAGCGAGGAAGGGAAGCACAGGGGGAGTCCCGCGATGTGGGAGGAGCTGAGGGAGGGATGCAGAGTGGTCAGAGCAGAAGCCGGGGGGTTAGGCCTTGAAGAAAAGGAGGAACATTGGCTCACTCTCGTGAGAGCTGAGAGGGCCCCCAGGAGATCTGCTGTCGGAATGAACACAAGGTTGCCAGTGCTCTGCTCTAGGGTCTCTGCCAGACACGCTCTAGTTCAGTGGGGAAGGTACTTCCAGTCCCCGGGAGGAATGCTGGTGAGCTGGCCCCAAGCTGATTCCTGAGCAGTCCCACGCGGAATGTTACGATTCCACAGGTAATTGAGAGCTGCCGTGTAGCCCGTTGGGTCAGGGCTCTGTTGATTGTGCGTAGTGCTGATATTTGAGGGGGTTTGTCCTGAGAAGAAACTCAAGAGTTGCCATAGAATTGGAAAGTCACCAGGGTGGCAGCTTTTCTGCAGTCTCCCCCCTCCTCGAGTTCGCATGGCCTCCCCTTTCAGGGCCTAGCTCTGTGAGCATCCAAGCCTTCTGCAAATGAAGTGCTAGCTCTTGCAAAGACTCATGGACGTATGTATCGTTATGCTTGTGAGGAGACCCATTCCTTTCAATGGGAGTGCTCAGTAAATGCATCTCGGAAGGAATTGGGAGCGAAAGGAAATAACGCTGGGAGATTTGTGTGTGGTTCTGCTTGAGACACTGTCAAAGAACCTCCAGGAAATGTGCCGAAAAGCTTCAACAAATGATGTGTAAATAGGAAGCGAGCCGTCTCGTTCTAGCGCAGTCTGACAGGGGAGAATATTCCATCATTAGCCCCTACACGCCTGACACGGGCGCTATGGTGATCTTGTGCTATGCTTCTCGTCAGCACTTGTCATGTGAAAAGGTCAGTGTCCTGGTAACAGATTTTCTTTACAAATGGCATCGTTCCCAACTATTGCACACCCACCCTTTTCCTCCTTTCTTTTCACCTTTTCACAAGCACAGTGCCAGCTTCCACTCGGCCCCTGCATCCCAGACAGGCTGTGCGCTCCAGGAATACACGCGCGAGGTTCTGAGCCTCTTCCCAAGGAGCTGACGAGCTAAGCCACATCCACATCTCTCCAGCACGTGCAGGTGCTGCTGGGTGTTGCTCCGCCGTCCTTGCTTCAGGGTGCGCCCCAGAGGCAGCTGTTCGCTCTCGTAACCACCCAACAAAGGACACGCGTGTTGTGCTGTGTCGCTGAGACTGAGGCCAGGCAGAGTGTTTTCTGGTTAGCATACAGTAACCCTGTGATTAAATGTTACGTGTTCTTACCCTCCAGCCACGCCCGCCTGCAGACCTGGGTTTCAGTTTTGATGCTAATAAACAACAAAGACAGCTGATAGCCGAACTGGAAAACAAAAACAGGTAAGGCGCTGAATCCCATGGATGGATGTCTGGGGGGAGTGTCGGGACAGAGGCTCGCTGCATTGCCTCTCGCACTCTGTGGTTTGAGATGGGATTCAGAGATCCCTTGTGGAATGGTGCGGCTGGCGGCTGTGGTCAGTCCTCTCACAGTCACCGTTCTTTAGATGTCTAAGTGTGGACCCAGAAACCTGCCTTTAGACCCCCCAAGCATGAAAAAACTGGCCCGGCTTAGGGCAGAATTTGATGTCAAATGCTTCGTGCTGCTCGTTGCCCTAGGAAGGGGCTCTCAGGGCCTGGGAGTTACCGTGGAAGCTAGGCACGTCCCTCAGGCTCCCGGGTTTGAACATTTTGCTCAAGATGAGTCTCCGTGGGGACTAGGCCCCTGAGAACTGTGGGGCTCCAAGAACTCACTCGCCGGCAGAGGGCCCAGCGCAGAGACTCCTGAAAGCCGCTGCAGTCCCAGCCCCAAAGAGCTTGTCCTTTAGAGCCCACCTGCTGTCGGATGCACCAATCGGATCCTAGCGCTTTAGTAAATGGGGGGCCAATGGGTGTGGGGAGAGCGGCGCTTGGGAGGGAACGCGGTTTGAGGAAAGGGAGGGACCTCTCCTGGGCAGCTGGCAGTGTGCGGCATGAATGCGGCCTCTCATGAGCCCTCTGGCAGCGGGGTGGAGTGTGCATGGTCCCCTCCTGCGCCCCGCACCCCTCCTGGCCCTGAGCCCCGGCGGGGGGGTGGAGTGTGAACGGTCCCCTCCTGCGCCCCGCACCCCTCCTGGCCCTGCGCCCCGGCGGGGGGGTGGGGTGTGCAGGGGGGCAGCTGGCAGTGTGCGGCATGAATGCGGCCTCTCATGAGCCCTCTGGCAGCGGGGTGGAGTGTGCATGGTCCCCTCCTGCGCCCCGCACCCCTCCTGGCCCTGAGCCCCGGCGGGGGGGTGGAGTGTGAACGGTCCCCTCCTGCGCCCCGCACCCCTCCTGGCCCTGCGCCCCGGCGGGGGGGTGGGGTGTGCAGGGTCCCCTCCTGCGCCCCGCACCCCTCCTGGCTCTGCGCCCCGGCGGGGGGGGGGCGTGTGCACGGTCCCCTCCTGCGCCCCGGCGGGGGGGGGCCAGTGGC